CAATGCGGGCCACTTTCATCTATTCACTTATAACATCATCTTCCCTCCAACAGACTCGGGCTATTTCTAGTGGCAAGAGTAAACTATCACATAAAATGTCAAAAGAAAGCACTCTTTTCCGGTAGGTTAAGGAAGTGTTCACATGGCCAGTAAAAGAAGCGGTTCGCAGGCTGGTCCCTCCTCGGTCTCGCGGACACCTGCAGTTCCTCAGCGCTTCCTTCACCTCGTTCCCACACTCCCTCTGAGGCCTTTCTTTTCTCAAGCCAGGCTGGCGTTTATTCCCGCCCTCTGCGTATTGCAGCACTGACGCCGGTCACTTCATCCACGTAAGGCCTCACAAGCGTCACGGAAAAGTATAATGACACAAAACACTCTACTTCCTGTAGGTCGTGAAGGGCCTCTTGTTTTGACACGGGCACACTTTGCTAGAAGGTTTAGCCTCCTGCTTCAACGAAGATTTCCAAAGTCACAGCATGAATCTTCAGTTATTTCCTTGCCCCACGTGCTGGCTGTCTTCTCGCCTTCCTGGTACGTCGGGAGATGATCGTCGGAAGTTCACAGGCAGCTGAGGATCGACGCCCTCATGCCGTCGTCGCAGCACCTCATCTGAACCGCCGCGGGCTCTTTCGGTAAACAATGAGCCGGTGCCAGATACCATATTCTAACTCGCATTTTATGCACACATTTCTTTCAGAGTGGAAACAATTCTTACCATTATTCCGTTCGTAAATACTAGAGGTCAACTCGATTATAGGTGGGTGCATGTGGCCATGTTTAACGTTAAAAAAAATTTTAAAAACGTTTAAAATCGTTTTTTATTTAACAGTTCCATGTAAAAAATCATCTTACTCGTACAGCTGCACCGCTTCTCCCTTATACCATGAGGCGTGTACGTCATGGAAAACCTGATTTAGTGTGCATTAATTCTGGCTTAATTCTTTTATTTAAACTAACCTATAGAGGGTCCAAATTTACCATTTAAAACTAAATAATTTACATGTTCCCCTAAAAGATGATCAGAATGACTCACAGCAACTAAATCTTCCGAATTGGCTGCGCGCAAATCGTCAGTCATTTTTCTTCGCGGTGCGCGTCGTCTGCAGCACTCAGCTGATCTGACATTCAGCATCCAAAATACACTTCCCTTCACATTTGCGGGTGTGAGGTAATAGTCAATTCCGGCGAGAAATATATATTTATATTATACGCAGCTTTAGTAGCAGAAATAGAAAACTT